TCATGAACTGTTGATTTCTTAGAATTATGTATTATTAAAAAGCAAATAGTGTTCATCGTTTTCTTGCAGCCCTTTGCCTCAGAAATAGATGAATCCCCTCAGTGTGACCCTCCTTATCGAAGCCCCCTCCTTAGCACCTCCTCCGGTAAAAAGCGAGGCCTCCTCCACACATAGAGCCTCCCCCTCCTCCCCCCTGCCTCCCTCCCTCCCTCACTGGTTGCAAACGGATTACGGATGGGCGCAAAGACGGCAGCCCGTCACCGGGTCCTGCGATCGGCATAGGGTGCAGCGGTGTGTCCCGGACGAGGTTCAGGGGCCGCGATGGGGAATTAATACCGGACCGGGGCGCATTTCCAGCCCGAAGCTGAGCGAAGGGAACCGCGACGGAGGAGCGGATTTTACAACCCCGTACAGCGTCTGGCTCGCTTCATCAGCACACACCGGTGCCATGTTGGTACAATAGCGGGCAGCTACGTGTGTTTTTGTGGACTTCGGCTGGATCTGAAAAGCCTCATGACATGTTCGAGTAAGTGGCACGGAGCGAGTCACCGGTGGCGTGATGGGGAGGCGGCGCGAAGGGCCGTTTTTTTCTTTTAGCCGCCTCTTAGCGCTTGGTGCGCGGTCAAACGGGTCCTGCAGATCCCGCTGATGGGTGCAGCAACAGCCTGCTAGCGGTGCAGACGGCCGGTTTGTTTGTGCCGAAGCTGCCCCTCCATCCTGACCTGAGCCTCCATCCTGCACAGAAACCAGCTCAAGGGAAGCGGTTGTTTGCTAGCTGCTCGTTAGCAGCGAAGTGAACCGCAGCAGCAGCAGCTCTGTGTGTCCATTGCTTTCCTCTTACTGTGGTGCTGCTGGAGGATTTATTCCGGGTTGTAAACACATGCTGACACAGATTCACATCATTCAGTGTCCTGGCTGTCAGTCTGCCCGCACTACAAGCCTATTTACACCACCTGCTGCCCTGTGTGCACCACCTAAAGATAGCTTAATGCTACTTGTCATAATACCTCTCTGATTAGCATCGCTGCTTTAGATAACATCATATTTTTCGGGGGGATCTTTTCGTTGCAGAAGGTTCAGGCGTTGCTCTTTGGCTTCACTGCTCCTTGTTCCAGGCATCAACAGCCATTAACCGATTAGCTGTTAAATTCACCGCCAGCTATTTAGATGATGGAGTAATCGTTTTAATCATAAATTGCTACTGTTATTGTTATAAATATTTAATGACCAAGGAACACTGTGTAATTTCCTGATTGCAGCTCCTTAGATGTGTAGATTGGCATTTGTTTTTATTTTATTTTTTTTTTTTGCCATATTACATTAAACTGAATCTGCAGACGTCACCTTGAGATTTGTAAAATTACTAAAGGTATTTTTTTAACTATTTGCACTTGTTTCAGAATAGAAATGGAGAAAATAATAATGAACGTAATTGTTAGTTGTAGGCCAAACGTGTGCTTTACTGTCAATTAACTGATTACCAGTTTTGTCCATAAAATGCTAAAAAACGATATAAAAACAATCATCCAAAAAATCTCTCACAGACTAGAATGAGAATGTTTTCAGATGTGTTGTTTAGTCAAGAGCTGCAACTATTAATCGATTAGCTGGCAACTATTGAATTAACCGGCAACTATATTGATAATCAGTTCATCGGTTTAATATTGAGTTAATGCTGGTATTGTTATAAATATTTCACTATCAAGAAGGAACCCTAAAATTTCTTGATTGTAGCTCCTTCAATGTAAATATTAAAACTAAATCTGAAGAAGTCGCCTTGTGTGTAACTACAAAAAATAATTTTAAATTATCTTTACTTGAAAATGGAGAAAATGATAATGTAAATGTTACCTGCAGCAAATGATTAACTGTTTTGTCTATGAAATGCCAGAAAACTCTAAAAGAAGGCCCAGAAAAATCTCAAACTAAACTAATCCACAAACTAAAATGCCGTCTTCAGATGTCTTTTTTAGTCCAGAGCTGCAACGAAATTGATTTTAAATGACATGTGAACATTTTGTTTTCTTGTGTTGTGAGTTGTGGACAAAACAAGACATTTGTCATCTCAGAAAAATTCAAGGAAACAGTGATCCATACTTATTTTTACGCTTTTCTGACATTGTTTTGTTGTTTTGTCTCTAAAATGTAACAGGATGGTAACAATGTCTATCATAGTGTCTGAAAGCCAAAGATGATGTCTTTAAAAATACTTATTGTGTGCAACCACCAGTCAGAAACTTGGTTAACCATCGAGAGTTGCATCCATTGATTGATTAGTTGTTGATACATTAATCGCCACTGGTTGATTGATCAATTTAAGTACCTTTTTGAACTAAAAACAATAAAAATTCTTGGATTGCAGCTTCCTTAATTAGGTAAGTATTTTTTGGCAAACTAAATATGTTACAGTTGTGGACAAGGCAACACATTTTTTCATCTTGGTAAACTTTAAGAAACACTGATCAACGTTTTTCTCTATTTTCTGACATTTTATAGACCAAACAACTAATCAGTAAATCTAGTAAATAAACAGTAGACTAATCGCTAGTGATAATAATCATTTTTGTGGCTAGGCGGTAAAATTTTGCAGGTCTTGTTTCAATCTTGAAGCTCTGCCACGAGTTTTAACAGACCAAACTATTCTTTACTCAAAAACACACATAAATTGATAAATTGATAATGAAGGTATTTGTTAGCTGCAGATTCAGTACAAGCCCCAAGCTTGTGTCTCTTTTAAAAATACTGATTGCAGCTTCGTCAAGATGATTATTTTCGGGTTTCTTTCCTCCTCTGTGAAGGTAAACTGAATATCTTTGGACAAAACAAGACATTTTAGGAAATGCCAGTCCACGTCTTTTAAACATATGCTGACATTTTTTTTGACAGAGCAACTAATTGTTTGCTCAACAATGAGCCTTGACATCAGTCCCGTTTTTACGCAGTCTGAGCTGTACCTTTGTTTTTAAAGCGAGTCCTTTTGCAGGGCATGATAACACTGTTGTAATGATAAAAACAAACCGCACAGACAATCTTAAATGTGCTGTGCCAAACAGTGCAAAAAACTACAAACAACATTCATTTAAAGCGCATGAAAAGATGCAATATTCTCAATGAGTGCTCCAACAGTACATGTTGGTTTGGCTTCATTATTATAATTGATCTGCAATCCAGAAAGAGCCACTATAACAGAATTTTTTTATTGATCTCAACAGGCCATCTGACATGGACTCTACCGGTCATTGCATCACATAGTTAGATAGATGATGATAATAAATAGCTGTGTATGTACGTTTGAAAGATCTGGCATTGTGGCATTAATATAGCAGTTTTTACAAGTTACCGACCTAAATATATTGGATGTACATATTTTGGTGACGGTTGGATGATCATAATGAGAATGTGTTGGAAAGATTCGTCTTTCAAGTGACCTTTTTAGCCTCGTTTTCCGTCTTTACGCACCTTTGAAAGTACGTGGAGTTGTGACAGAAATATTTACTTTAACATATGCAATGTAAAACTCAAATCACTCTTGTCGTTTTCTCAACCATCCACAAAGATTTTCAGTGTAGCCTGATAATTAAAAACAGTTGATTGTCACAGTTGTTGTTGTTTTCTGTCAGGTGATTACTGGATTGATTAATTGTTTGAACCCTGCACATTGTATCCCTTCAAAATCAGGACAGCCTTTATCTAAACCTATAGGTATTTCCGGTGTTTCTTTCAACTAAATGCAGTTTTTACTCAGGTTGGGTTGACTAATGAAAATTATCACTCGACAACTAGCTTTGACTGTAAATTAATGAGTTCAAATCTAAGCAATGATTCTTCAGACTGACCTTATTTAAGAAGCAGAACTACAAGTGGAAAATATGGCTTTAACAAAGTGAACCACATGGAAACAGTGTTTGGGTGCTGCTAGATTTCGTGCAAGATGTTTATTCAAAGCCTTGAAGTGAAAAAAGTGTTGCTGGACTGTGTTGGTTCCTGCTTGACCTACCAGGTTTTGGTAGCTGTGCGGGACGAGAAGTTCATCCAGTGTATCTGGGTCCAGTTATGCAGCCTCTCTGATGGATTTGAGGTGGACACACCGCAAAGCGTTCTCTTTGCAAGTTGAGCAATGTCTGGAAAACATGCTTGACCAAATCTTTTAGCATCACTTTACTCTATGTTGTAATACTTCAACCTACGTGTCATCATCAGATATTTCAGATAAGATAACACTTAGGAGGAAATTCTTGTGCCAAATATTGCTCAAAAAACAAGCTTGCACAACATGAGAGTACGTACAGCGCCTAATAGAAATAAGATACATGTAGGATAGATTTGTGATAGTAAAGGAAACAGAAAGTAAGCCATAATAGGACCAGAAAAGTTGTAATGAAGTAGTAATACTGCACAGTAATGAAATATTCCACATGAAAAAGGGAAAGTACACATGAAATTTAAACAGATATTACACTGTTCAGACTTAAGTCTCTGATGCTTCAGTTGTCCTTCCTGCAGGAAGTTATGTGTAAAATGCACATTGTTGTTTTTAGTGGTTTACCCAGAAACTGTAGGAATGAATTACCTGAAAGACAGTCAACTAGTAGTAGCTGATTATTGCAACAGTTATTATTATTACTACTACAACTAGTCATCCCAGCCATAGTCTTTACCTGTTCACAAGAAAAAAATTGAATTGGACACTTATTACAGCACACACTCCATAAATCTGTGACCTATTGTATAGTCACACTTACTGGTTAAACAGCCTTAAGACCTTTACTAACCGGCTTTAAACGCCCCTACAGTTTGTCTGCAGACAGCGCTGGCCTTACACGGCCTCTGTTTGGTCTTCAGCCTGAGATGGCATGCTTTTATCAGATAGGAAACGCCCGCAGCCCTCCTTCATGGCACTGCATTAAAGGCATCACGGAGCAAAACTTGGCGATGAAATATGAAAGAGTTTCCGGTGTTCTCCCCTGAGCTAACCTCCCTCTCTCTGTTGTCGTCTGCAGCACGGCCAGTAACTCTCCACGCAGCACCCCCGGCAGCTCCCCCTCTCTGCGGCGCAGGGTCCTGGGGGGAGGCAGGGCCAGCGAGGGCGAGGCTGGAGGAGACAAGAGCAGTGGAGGTGGAGGAGGTGCAGACAGCCCACTGCCCTCCATACCCTCCGCCTCCTCCCTCACATCCGCCTACCCACTTGCCTCTCGCCACTTCAGCCGCAATGCCAAGGTAACCCACAACATGATGGAGGCCACATGTCACACATTCAGATGTTCAGTATAGGGATTGACTGATTATCAGCCAGATCGATTCCTGGGGCTGATATTTGACATTTTCCTACTGATCAGTATCGTTATATTAACTAATAAATAAAATGTTCTACTTTGGCTGGTGGTCTCACTCACAGCTCTATCTAATTGGTCACACCTAAAGATAACAGCCAATCAACAATGGAAGCTACTGTTTACAGACAGGGATAGATGAGTACACTAACAGAGCTGGTAGTAGACGTTACTGTAGTTGTAATAAACACCCCGATCTTCCACACCTGCTCGGTTACTCTGTTAGGCAAGAAAGTGGGGATCGGCTAACAAATTTTTTTTGCAGGTCTGGTATTAATTATTGGTAATGGAAAAAAGCCTGTAATCGTTATTTTTAAACTGATATACATTAAATGTTATATGTCACCCACTTGTGATGGCAGTGAGCCTGTTATTCTTAACTAGGTTACTTCATTATTAAGGCTTACTAATACTGAATATGTACAATACAAATAGGAGTGATGATCTCTGGGAGTCACGTGAGGCTATCATGCTCTCCTGTGTTTGTTGATCGATCGGTTAATTGAAATCTATTAGTTTGTCTCCCGTTGTTCCATCTGCTATTCTTCTCTGTTTTGTTATTGTTTCTCTGCTCCGTCTTTTTTTATTGCCCTCTAAGGTCCAGATCCTAAAGCGTTATTAGTTATTGTTTTCCAGACTCTGCTTCAGTGTAATCTGTGGCTGTCTCCTAACGTAGCTGCTAGTTGTTAGCATAGCCGTAGCCACTGTGAAAGTGTCTAATGTCCTGATTTGTTTTGACGGCTGTGCTTCTTGTTCAGTTGTTCGGTTTTTGCTAGAGAGACGTGTCTGTCAGTTATAACAGAGTGTTAAAGTTAATTTGACTTTAGAAAGATGTTACAATATTCCGGGTAGCGTTAGCGGCACAGCAAACCTCGCAGTGATAACATTAGCCTAGCAGTGTCAGAAAAATATGTTCCAGCTGAACCACCCTACGAGTGAATTATTGTTTTGCTTTTCTGGGTAATATTAGGAATGCTTGGGGAAGACTGCGGTGTTTGATAAACATTAGCAACACCTCCTACCTCACCGTCCAACCAAACATGACTCTGCTGATTCACCAGAGCTGCTTCACTCAGCAAATGTGCTCATCTGCCTTGGTTGGTAATTAATGGTTTTTGTTGACTGGCTATTACTCGTGACATGTTGCAGCCAATCAGATAGAGTTGTTGTCCAGACATTGCTGAGACCACAGAGTGACTACAGACAGAGAGGTGGTTTCATCAGAGCAAAAGTAGCATATTTAATTTATTTCGCAATGATCAGTCAATAAAAATAACAATACCAATAATCGTAAAAATGTCAGATACCTGCCACAATAATGAATCGATCCTTAACATCAAGGTTTCCATCTGATGTTTTTAGTTTTCTTACAGTATTTGTGAGGTGTGTGTTGCGGGTACACATCACTGTTGCTTCATCACCTAGCTCTAGTCATGACTAAATTAGACAAGTTATTATTACAACAAGACTTTCTGTATTCTGTGTATGCTCATTGAACACCCAAATCCGATTTGCAGATTTCTGTAACTTCATTTTTTTTTTAAAGTTACACTTGAAATAAATAGATAATAAATAGTT